CTTGTTCCTGATCAGCTTCGTGCCTGTCAGAGAAGTTGGGGTTGTGATTAGCTGAGGCACAAATACCTGCTGGGTCTGAGCTGGGTTTGGCAGCTCTTCTAGGAACCATCCACACCAAGGTAATCACGTCGCAAAAGTGGAAAAAAATAATATTTGAGGAAAGCTTCTTCCATAGTCTTCATAATGCAAATTTCACCTAAGATGGGATTTTTATTTTTAAACCATGATTCTTGCAAGAATTTTATAAATTCAAACATGAGGCTTACAAGTAATCCATCACCAATTGCTTATAGAAACAATGTGCTGGGCAGATAATCAGCAGGGACAAATTTATCTCTGCAAGAAAAAAAAAGTTTCATAGTGTTTCCATCCATATAGCTTAAAAACATAGTGGGAAAGTGGCAGCAGTGTGTCAGTCTGAGCCCTCTCCTGCACTTCTCCTGGAAAAGTGACAATTCAAGCAACTAGTTACTAGTGTTTCTTTTTGCTCTATGATTTAGAAAAGCACTTTTCTAGTTTCAAAACACTCACCTATCCTCCGTTATTTTCATTGCAACCTTTCATGGTTTTGTATCTGATTTTCCCAAGACTGAGTTAGCTAATGACCAGCACAGAACTGAATTTCTCTTAACACCTGTGAGGCTTCAAGTTCCAGCTATTGATTCTAGGAATCCACCCAATTATTATTGTCCATTTGGCACGGGCTTTTTCACAACAGTCTATGTTACGCTGAGCTGTTTAGAGTGCTCCTCCTCTTTAATGTATCATTTTGTGTTATGAAACACCCTGCTAATAAAACCTGGCGGTAGTTTCCTCCTTTGACACAAAGCAGTGCCTGGAGTCTAAGGGGTTACTGCAGAACTCAGTTTTTCCAACTTTCAGGCCACTGTTTTTGCTCCTTGGTGTTACTTTTGCAAGCGTTTCTTTAACCTTGGTTTTCCCCGATGGCAAGAGCCTGTGGATCTTGTTCCTGTCACTGCTTTGACCTACGAAACACGTGCCTGCTGCCAGCCAACTCACCTGGACTTTTCTCTCTCAGATAGAAGAAAGCGAGGAGGAATGGGGGGTTCCTCACTGCCTGACACTGCGGGGGCAACATCAGTCCATCATCGTGGCCGCAAGGTAACTCCATGAGCCACCTTAACGCAGCCCAAGTGGGATTGCAAGGGATGTTCCTCCAAGGTGTTCGGAGCGGGATGGGCAGCGAGGCACATCAATTTCCTTTCAATCAGCTCCTAAAAACCATTTCGAAGACATTTTTCTGTGTAAGCCTCTTGCAGAAAGAGAGAAAAAATGTGAATGAAACAAAGTGGTAGCTGTGAGTCATAACCAAAGCTATTAAAAAACAAAAACCTAGCATCTCATATTCATATTTACTTAAATAAATTAGAAAGTAAGTTCAACTCTTGACAGTTTCTTAGCACTTGCTTTCATCCCATGAAAGTGTGTAAAACCTGGGTTTTCATTGCCAGCACCCGTGCCGAGATGGACAAGTGGACCGAGGACATTCAGATGGCCATCGACCTGGCCGAGAAGAGCAGCGGCCCCGCACCCGAGCTGCTGGCCAGCAGCCCCCCTGACAGCAGTAAGTGGGTGCTGGACAGAGGTTCCTCCCTGGCTCTGGTAGGGTTGGTGATTCCGTATGAGCAGAGTGGTGAAATATGCTGGCCACAAGTCACACTAACACATTTGAAGTTGATGAGTATGTGTGTGTGTGTGTGTGTGTGTGTGTATTTATTTTAATGTGATTGCTGATGTTAACAGTGAGTATGACTTAAGCGTCATGATTTCAGGAAGCAGGTTTTACAAGTTCATTTTGGGCATTGCCTGTCCTTAGCACCAATACAGCTTGTAGCTGGTCTTTTATTCAGAAACTTGCAGACCCACGTAAGAAAAAAATTAAGCTACTTCTTTAACATGGGCACAAAATTATTTCTGAAATAAGTGAAACTATTAGTTCTGAAACCAGTTCACAGGATGGTGAAGAGAGTTAGTTTGTTTAATTTTTCCAATTGTACATGTTGCTGCATAGAGGAAGCAAGCTGCTTTTTCCCTGCATTTCGTAGAGTCTCCTGATGAGCCCCCTGTAGACCAGGAATCTGAGGACGACCTCAGCGCCTCGCGCACCTCCCTGGAGCGGCAGGCCCCGCAGCGGGGCAACACCACGGTGCACGTCTGCTGGCACCGGAACACCAGCGTCTCCATGGTCGACTTCAGCATTGCCGTGGAGGTATCTGCCTCAGGACCACCTGAACTGCAGCTCTGGGGGCTCCTGTGAATCACAATTTCCTTTTTGCTCTTCCTTTATAAGTACTAGATCCCATTACTTTCCTTCTGGGGAAGTTTTAGGTGCTCTGATTCACCTGGCTCCTCGGGTGATGGCTTAAGCCACCAGTCGGGGCACAAATTTTCACTCCCTAGGTGCATCTGTAAAAAAAAAAAAAAAAACAAAAAAACAGATTGAGCATTAATTTTCATGGAAGTAATTTCTCTGAGCAATGCTGAGTTGTTAAAACTTCAGGCAGGTCAAACTGCCTTAATTCCCTCTTTAGTAAAGGCATTAAGGCAGTGCTAGAGCCGAAAGGCGATTGTCCTTAGCTGCTGCAGCCTGAGTTGTGGTTATGTCTTTTACTGACTGCCTTTCTTTACCACCCTTCTTTTTCTGGAACCTTGTCTCCTTACTCAGCCTCATCTGCTTTTCCTTTGTTTGCATTTCCCATAACAAAAGAGAAACCTTGTTTTTCTGCCCCCATCACAGCTAAGCCTATTCCATACCCATTTTTAAAATTCTGTGTTTCACAGACATTGACTTTTCAAAGATTAAAATGAAAGACCCCGAGTTCAGTGAGGGTTTCAGGGTGCGCTTAGGTGGGCTTCCTTCCCCCACGAACGACTCCAGGGCGACTCCGAATGCTTTATCACTGTATCCTCATAAAGCAGAAACTCCTGCTCAAGGAGAGCTTGAAGTTCAGCCGGCTGCGCTCCGGGGGCAGCCCTGGGACAGGAGGTCTCTCCTGCTCCGGGTGGGCTCTGAGCGTGGCCCTGCGTGGGCAGGTGGCACTGCAGCCACTGGAGCTGGCAAACAGAATGATTCTGTCCTGGAAAATGCCTCCTGCCTCATCCCGATCGCAGGCAGGTGGGTTTTCTGCTTGCTTATACCCCTGTGTCCTGCAGAGGAGCAGGAGTTTAGCCGGGAATAAACTCTCACACTTTGCAAGCAGAGCAAGGAAGACCAGACAACGCTGAGTCTGTGGAAGGACCCTGAGCGCTGCAGGGCAGGGTGCTCCCACCGTTCTGGGGGTGCCTCTTCAGCTTCATTTTATTCAGCATTATTCCGTTTATTTTCTCTGTGTCTCTCCCTCCTCTCTGTCTCTCCCGTGGTAGAAGAGCCTCCCTCTATCAGTGACTGTTCCTCCCTACCTGCTGGACTGCTCAGTGACCAGCGGCCCGTTTCCATTTCCTATGTCTGCTGGTCCCGAGTGCAAAGCCTGTCCTTTTCTGATATGCTCCAGAGTGACGAGGTAACAGGGAATTCAGGAGAGCACCCGTAGCCCAGGCCAGCCCCTGGCAGGCCAGAGAGGGGGATCATGCACAGCAAAGGCACCACTGTACGTGCGAGGCGCAGTGACGCCAGCCCTTAGCCTAGGGGGGCTGATCTGTGGGAAGTTGCATCTTCACCACCTTTAAATACCTCTTTCTGGTTACGGCTCCCTCCGCCATTCCATAAAATTTCCAAAATCCTGCTAAGACTAAGGTTAACAGTCCTTGCTTGTAAAATCTTTGAAAAGTTACCATGTTAATTCACTGGGTGCTGAGAGCTCAATCTCTAGCTGCAATTGTAAAATACACCATGATTTTTCTTTACATCACATATTCTTGTCAAGTTTTATGTTTCCATTAGTATATTTAATAATTGCACAACAGACAAGCCCGCTAAAGAAGGACAGATATTTCTGATTCTAAGCTTACTACAAAATTAGTGGAATTAATGTTAAATAACTTCAGTAGAAATGCAGACATTCCTCTATGTGGGGCTTGGCTACTTTCCACCTTATATACCTTTATAACACATGTTTCACTGTTTTATTTGGCTGTTTTTTGACTTATTTCAGAACCAGCTGTCTGGAAATCTCCTAAGAAAGTTCAAAAACAGTAACGGGTGGCAGAAGCTTTGGGTGGTATTCACCAACTTCTGCATGTTCTTCTATAAATCGCATCAGGTAACCCTCTGTGCAAGTCAGTGTGGCTGGATAGGTGTTTTGTATTTTCCATGGCTCGGTAGAGGGGGAAAGCTGAGTGTGGATGCTCTAGGCAAGATAAAGAGGGGACCCAGTCAACATGACCACTGTTGGGCTGTGGAATTGGGGCTGGCTCTTGTTGTCCTTGCCAAGGGGATGAAACTTTAAAGAGTCGCCATATATATTCCTAAAAGCACAGCAGTTATCACGGCCAGAGGTCCAACAAGAACGGTTACTTGTGAGTACTTAATCTGAAGAAACATCATCCCAGGGAAGCGGTTTCTTTTTCCTGTCCAGGGTCTGCTGGGCTTTTGCATTTTGTAAGCCCAAGGCAGTCCCATTGCCAGGTTGTGCTTTCCTTGCTGTGGGAATCCTTAGTGCTGGAGTTTCTGCACTGACAGGAGAATCAAGTGCCTTCTAGGCTATTCTGTGCCAAGGGGCTGAAGCCCCTTTTTGATTTGTGCCTCCGTGCTGTGTCAGCCAGAGCGGTGCGAGCGCCGCCTGCGAGCGGGGAGGGACGCGCACGGCGCTCGGCGCGTGCCAAGCGGAGCCACGTGGGTTGTCAGCGGGAAAGCCAAGGATTCCAGACTCCCTTCTGATCAGGAACCGCTGGCAGGATCAGCCTGCAGTGGATGAGAAGGAAGCCGGCAGCTGGGCAAGCTGTTTAAGAACACTGAGCATCCCATTGCTACTATAAAGTAAAGCCTGTGATGGTTTCCCACGCAAACTTGGAAACAGCAAGAGCAGCCTTAAATGGGGTGGAGCTGTAGCTGTCTCCCACTTTACTTCACTGCTGTCTGTCCTTGAGGGCGTTTGAACTCATAGCGTTTTTCACCATTTATTTTCAGGACAATCATCCTTTAGCCAGCCTTCCTTTACTGGGATATTCACTTACCATTCCTTCCGAATCTGAAAACATTCACAAAGATTACGTGTTCAAGCTGCATTTCAAATCCCACGTGTACTATTTCAGGGCTGAAAGTGAATACACATTTGAAAGGTAAGCCAGTTTTCTGTGAGATCTTTTTATTTTAATTCCTGGATTTTTTTCAGGCAAGGTTGGTAGATGCTGTCGTTGGCAGTTCATTAAATTGCTTCAATAATACAGGCAAGTAGTTTGGCACAGCTAGAGAAAGAGTCCTTTAAATTTTTAAAAGAAATTTTACACCTTATGATGCCAGAAGCAAGTGGGTTGTTTTGATAACCCCAGCAGCTGTAATACAGTCACTGCAGCAGAGCAGTGATTCCTTACAGGCAGGAATTATCAGCTGAAAACTGACCAAGCTGGCAGTACAGGGGGCTTGACGCAGCACTTCCTAGGATTTGATACATAGTCAGACTGGAAAACATTTCAGTAGCTGTATGGAACAAGTTCATTTCCTCTAATACAACTGGGGATCTTGTAAAAATACTAAGATATTTTACTTATCTAGTGAAATCCACGCTGAAAGAATCTCCTAGTTTTTCCATAGCAGCTGCTGTTCTTTCTATGTCTTTCTGACACTTCAGCCTTTCTACATAACCCACTGAATTCCAAATATATGAAGAGCCAAGAAATAGGCATTACTTCTCCTTGCCCCAGACAAGTTGGAGCTTGTTCATACCAGGCATTAAGGTTTTATATATATATATATACCATAAAACCATATATATACATATATATATGTATATATAGCATTAACATGACAAAAAATAATGTCCTCTCATACTAAAGAAAGCTTTTGTAAAGTCGTGACAGACTTTCCACAATAAGGAAAATGGTGGAGGAGAGGTAATTAAATAATTAGGTAGAATTGGAAAAATTCAAAAGTTCTCCTTCAGTTCTGTAAAAGCAAATGGTAATCACAGCTAAATCACATTGCAGGGATTACAATTCAGAGTGGTTGTCCACTGCTTGTCACAGAATCACAGAATGGTTGAGGTTGGAAGGCACCTTTAGAGATCACCTAGTCCAACCCTCCTGCTCCAGCAGGGACACCCAGAGCACGTGGCACAGGGTGGCATCCAGGCGGGTTTGGAAGATGTCCAGATTATCCTTTGGACTGTCTGAAAAAAGAGACTTGGTACTTGCAGAACAAGTAAAACTGCTACTGAGTTCAGGCATTTTGGGTCCCGGTTCTTCTCGGAACCTCCCGTTCACCGGTGTAGTCAGTGGTCAGTTGGTGCTAGAGCCTCTCACCTCAGGAGGGACTTGGGCATAAAACAGTAGTGAAGATCATCTTGCAGCGCTGAAAATAAAATTTTTGTACCGCTTGAAAGAGGAATCTTTCAAGAAAGCTTTCCATAGCCACGGATCCTAATTTTGCTGTGGTCTCTCCTGTCGCAGATGGATGGAAGTGATCCGAAGTGCCACCAGCTCTGCCTCACGCACCCGTGCCCTGAGCCACAGGGAGCCTCACGCCTATTGACAGCGACACAGGCGCCGTGGGCATCGCCCAACGCTGCCCGTTTTCTAGAGGACGTTTTAAACTCTTTTCTCCCTCCAACTTTAGTAAAACCTAACGTTTGTTTTAAAAAAGAAAAAGGAAAAAAAAAAAGCAGCAACAAAGTATGGTTTTGCAGAAACCTTCACGACTCCCTCAGCAAAACTGTTTAGGTTTTTCCATATGGTCAAAATAGCTTATCAGGATCCCAGTGGCTGCCGTTAGTTTCATGTCTTGTATTTTGTCATTCTGTGCTGTTTTTAGCTTGTGCCAGTATTAAAATATTGTCCTTATTAGAGTGCCAAATGCCAAAAGACGTTTTGTTGCCTCAAAGATTGCACCTAAAAAACTCAACAGAGTCACAACCTGAGAACTTTCTCCTGTGAGGCAAACATTATTTCTTCTCTTTTCATAAAAATATATTATTTTTTTTACCATGTTAATCTGTAGACTGCTGGATTTTTAAATGTAGATGGACTTCCACAGTATAGAATATAATTATATATACAGTCTAACAGGAATGAGATAACTTTCAGATTTCTTTTTTTTCCAGTCTTTCTACATTTAATCAATGAGGAATTGCTAATTTTCTATCTTTAACGAAAACAGTTTACAGCTCAATCTCATTTCCCTTTAGGGTTACATATACATGTGGTATAAATAAACTCTAGGATTCTTATCTAACCATTTTTTGGTGCAAGTTGACCAAATTGTTCATCTGTTGGCTTTGAAAAGTGAGTACTACTTGCGAGATGAAACTTTTTTTTTTTTTTAATGATCCAGTGCAATATTATTCGGGCTGTTAATGTACTGTGAATGGTATGTACAAGGAGAAATTAAAGGCTGTGGTGACGTTCTGCTGTTTGTTTTACAAACTTGAAAGAAACCCTGTATGCTACACGAACTGCAGCGCTTCGTGATTGATTTGTGGAGTGTTCTGGTAACTGGCGTGGACTCCAGCACTATAAAGCGATGGTACTGCTCAACCGCCAAGTTCTCATCCTGCCTACGCGTCCTCGTGCCGCTTTGGTTTTGTTGTTGGAATTTGAGTTTCCTTCTCCCCTGGTGCTCAGTAGTCAGACAGCTACAGCTCTAGTCATCAGTGGAAACACCTGTTTCGCCTGCCTGTGGTTTTGTCCAACACCAGTTTTTGGATAAGCTGTTGACCCCCTCAGAAGATTGTCAACAGTAGGTCTACCACGATAAGACACTTTTCCTTAGCGTTAAGAAAGACTTCGCCACGATGATGATGTAAAACCTCCTTTAGCAAAGGCTGAACATGCTAGAAACACCTCTGTCACCCTTGAGGGCCTTTGAGGAAACAGTGCTAGGGAGACAAAACTGAGACAATTCCCCCCGCTCCAATTTTATTTTGTGTAGTATCTATCTGATTTGTTAATTGCTTACCCTTATGCAATGTATAAAATGGCTTCTATCTTTGCTCACAACAAAAGGGAATAAAATACCTCACAATACTCTCACACGTGCGGCTGGTTCCCGGCAGCAGAGCTTTCTTTTTGTCCCTTCCCTCCCCTCCTCCTCCCTGAAAAGCTCAGGGGAATTCGGGCTCCCGGCAGTACCAGGGTTGGAGCTGGGAAGTTTCTCAGGGCCGCGCGTACGTTTGTGTGTGCAGACTGTCACTGCCAGGGATAGGATGGGCTCTTTATCCTGGGAAATACGGATCCCCGCAGCCGATGGGGACCCAAACAAGCATTTTGGCTTGCTTCCTTCTGCTTTGTGTAAATCTACGAATCCCCAGGGAAGTAAAATTTGGAGTTGCTCTTTTCCTTGGAGATTTTTACCACTGCTGTGATGCACCAGGCCTGAGCAGGGATGCGGCTGCGAGCTCTGGAGTGAAGATAACTCAGCTTAGATCAACAGCAACTCAGAAACAGCCTGGGGAAACAAGGCTAGCGACTGGGGCTATTACCAACTGCAGTAAGGGCATCGTTAATGCGCAGAAGAATCACCACTGATCTGTAAAACAGGCACTCAAGCTCACAATCACCATTTGCAGCATCAATGCAATAGGGGAACCCAAAGCTACCATTGACTTATGAGCACAGTTTTAAGGGAAGGCAGGGGAAACGAGACAACTGCTGGTTTCTGCAGAGGCATTTTACATGTGGGAAGAGTTGGCTCTGTTGGAGCTCAGGGAAAAATGGACAATACCTGGATATGTATTATGTTTGATCACAAAAGCCTTTGCTTTTTAAATGCCTGCATGCAAACTACAGCTAGACCCCTACTGCTAGCATTTACAGGGTGGAACTGTAACAGCGATCATATAAATTCCTCAAAGAAAGAATATTGAGGGATATGCAATTCAGCTAAAATATGAAATTTTTATTTTATTTATCCAGCAATATTTTAGATTGCTGGAGCTTGTGGGATACAGTCTTCATTACCTCTGAGTGCTTTTATTTGAATTTACATTCCTTGGACCAGATAACAGCTTTTCCAGGTATGTTTTGTTTCCACATACAGTGAGCTTGGAAAGCAGTTTTTCTGTAGTCTGGGGCCAAGATCAAGGTGTTGTTCTTTCTACCAGGCCAGCACAGACCTAGTTTGACAGCACAGTTTGACAGTTTGATGTAACTTTATGGTAGCTCTCTGATTCTTTGCTCAGATTTTTTTGTCCTTTTTAAGACGCTTAAAATAAGATTCTTTCCTTCTTTAGTAGTGGGAAGCTTTTTAAAATTATTAAACAGCCTCAGCCCTACTGACCCTAGAACCTTTTTTGGTCCTAGTTTTTGGTTTAGTTTGGTTTACCCAAAATTAAAATAATGGCATCAGTCTCTTTCCAGTCCTATCTTAGAGCTTTCTAGTACATTGCAAGTTTTATTCGCACACGTAGCTCCGAGTCACTTGGTAACATCACCTAGCTGGAGGGGCCCAGCCACATTTATCATTCCCAGCTGCACAGGTCAGGGTGCACCACGCTCTGTTCCAGCATTGGAGGGAAACCTGGTCACTTCGAGGGATTTGGTTTTCTGGGTATTACCACGACTCATTACTGCTGGCTTCAACATACAGATGTTTCACAGGGCTGGCAGAGGAGGAATCGCAGAGCAGTTTGTAGTAACTGCCATTGAGAAACCGGAACGTTTTCTTTCTGGGACAAACTGATACACAGCAGGAGAAAATAACCTCAACGTTCTCTGCTGAGACACTGCTGCCCTGGTCAGAGTGAGAGTTTTCTCTAGTATGAACGTGGGCATTGCAGACAGACGGACCCTAACAGACCGAGACACCCACCGGCACGATCCCTTCAGGGCTCCCTTCTGCCAGCAGCTCTTCTCACTGATCACACAGATGGCAACATTTCATTTGACTTTTCCTTCTTTATTTCTAGGTCATGTAGTTTACACGGAGTTTATTACGTTGGTGTAGAGTGACAAAAGTAGAACTTCAGTACAAGTTTATGAACAGGCAGCAATGTTACAGAACACAAGGGCCACGCGCGGGCTGTCCTCTGCCACCCCTGCATTCACCCATTGCATGTGCTCAGGGCAGCCCCCAGCACTCCTGCAACGCAGTCACACAGAGCAAGCCTGCAGATTTGTGCTATACGTTAAGCTCCTCCTGGCAAATTACAAAAATAATTGATGATTGTTCTGATCCTTGCGTTACATCTGTGCTTATTAACACTTGTGGTAGTTTCCCTGGGGTGACATTTCTGAAGGCAAACACATGTTTTCTTAAAAGGAAGGCTAAAATGCAAAACCGTTACAAACAGTACCCTATGTCTAAAAAAAAAAAAAAAAAAAA